TTTTTTACAGACATAGATGTAAAAATCCAAAATAAGTAATATTGGCTTAGGCCAAATTTCCTCTCTCATATTGCCTTTGTCCTTTTTGATACAAAGGTTATAATAGCTTCAAAATACAAACTGAGTAACTTTGCCTCTTTTCCCATTTTCTGACAGTTTATAAAAGATAAAAACAATTTGTTTCATAAAGGTTTAGTGGAACTTTATAAAACAGTCTGGGCCTGATATTTGCTTATGGAAGCGAGAGGTATATTTTCAATAACCAATTTTAACTTTATTGATATTATATCTATTCAGGATTTTAACTTATTGTTTACTCAGTTTTCAGTATATTTTTCTAAAAAAATAGCCAATTTTATCTGTTTCTTTGTCATTCTCAAATGTACTGGCATAAAATTCCTCATAAAAATTATAATCTAAATCATCATTTGAAAACTTTTCTTAAAAATAAAATTCTACTAAATCACTGTCTACTAATCTAAATCATTTGAAAACTTTTCTTAAAAATAAAATTCTACTGAGTCTGTCTACTAACCTAAATCATTTGAAAACTTATCTTAAAAAAATTACTGTATTTATAGTTATATCCCCATTTTTATATTTTTAAAATTATTTGTACCTTCTTTTTCCTCAATATACCTCTTGAGTGGCTCATCATTTTATTAGCATTTTCAAAGAATCAGATTTTTATTTAAGCCCCTCTGTTGTTTCTTTGCTTTCTGTCATTAATTTCTATTCTTAACATTATCATTTTCTTCTATTATCTTTGGGTTGCTTAAGTTAAATAGTTAGCTCACTCATTTCAATCTCTCTTTTTACATATATTTTTTACGCATATTTAAGCCTATGAATCAATCGCTTTAGTGTTATCCTGCATTCAAAACATCTGATTTGTGATGGGGGGGTTTTGTTTTGGTTTCTGCAAAAGTTTATTTTCCATAATCACTTCTTCTATGACCCATGACTTATTTTTAAATATTTTTAAATTTCTAAACATGACAATATTTCATCTTTTGATTTGTAATTACATCACATCGTGCATTGTATGACTGTCTGCCATTTGCTGCTGCTTGCTTTGTGACTTGGTATGTGGTGAAATTTTCATAAATGTTCTGTGTATTAAAAATGTACCCAGCCCTGGCTGGTTTGGCTCAGTGAGTTGAATGCTGGCCTGCAAACCACAAGGTTGCCAGCTGAATTTCGTCAGGGCACATGCCTGGGTTGCAGGCCAGGTTCCCTGTTGGGGGCGTACAAGAGGCAACAGATGGATTTTTCTCTCCCTCTTTTTCCCTTCCTTCCCCCCTCTCTAAAAATAAATAAAATCTTTAAAAAAATGCATAGAGTGGGGCAAAAGTTGGTTTACAGTTGTGAATCTGCGAAACACACACATTTCGTATTATTATTTTATTCTTGTATTATTATTTATTATTTTATTATTTTCCATACAAACAACTGTAAACCTCCTTTGCCCCACAATGTATGATCAGTTGCAAAAGTCTATAAATATCCATTAGTTCAAGCCTGTTAATTCTTTTATTCAAATCTTCCTTCTTTTTTAATAATTTACTTGATGTTAATTATTAAAATGTATATTGAAATATTAACATTAGGGTTGTCCATTTATCATTCTGCCAGTGTTTTCTTCTTTAAATATTTGAAGTTATGTCATATATATACAAACTCACCTTTTCCCGGAAATACTTAAATCCTCCTAGTGAATTCTCATTCCTAGTGAATAAATCTCTTAATTTTTGATAATGCTTTGCTTTACTCTAAATTTTCTTAAGATTAATATACATATGGCATCATTTATTTTTGGTTCCTTATGTTACAATGTTTTAGACCCATGACTCATAAAGAGCAATGTACAGTCATACCTCAGTACTCATCATACTCATTGGCTCCAGAACTTGTCAAACTCTGTATCTGTGCATTTTGACAAGAAAAAAATGTTTCAGCACACAGCGCTTGCTCAGGACTCATTGCTCAGGACTCACTATGTTTGCTTGAACTTGTATGAGTCACGATGTCACAATGCTATCCCCCCACCAAGAGAAAATGCTTCATCACTCTTTGCTTGTTTGGTACTCGTCAGTTTCAGCACTCCTCGGGAGTTCGGGAACGAATTAATGACGAGTATCGCGGTACCACTGTATCTGTTCACTGCCTAAAAAAAAAAAAATATTCTCCCACCCTATGGTCTCCACCTTTTCTCTGGTAAATTTAGTCTGTTTGTATTTATTTTGATAATTAATATAGTCGAAATTATTTCTGGCACCTTATTTTGTTAATATATTATGCTATTTCCCTCCTTTTTTTCTAGTTTTCCTTAAAATTTTAACAGAATTACAATATTATTATTCTTTCTAAACAAAAGCACCTCAGAAAGCTTTAACTCAGATCACTACCCCTCCTGTCACATATGCTGTTTTCTAGTACAGTATTTAATTCTGTGCATTTATTTATTGTATTGTTCTATAAAATCAGGTTGTCCAAATTTGCCTACATGTTTACGAACTTCTTTGCTAACTTTGTCTTGCATCCTCTTCTACATTCTGGGTCCCATTTCCTCCTGTAAGTACAAATACCTTTAGTAATTCTTTCAGTAACGGTCTATGAGTAGTAAACTCTCTTATCTCCATTTGAAAATACATTTCTCCCTTGTTTTAAAAATGAGTTTTCTCACCCTGGCTGGTGTGGCTCAGTGGACTGAGCGCCAGCCTGTGAACCAAAAGGTCGCCAATTCAATTCCCAGTCAGGGCACATGCCAGGGTTGCGAGCCAGATCCCCAGTTTCTGTGTGAGAGGCAACCGATAGATGTCTCTCTCGCCCATCCATGTTTCTCTCCCTCTCTTCCCCTCTCTTGAAAAGTAAATAAATAAAATCCTTAAAATGACAGTCTTCAGAATTGTTTTATTTTTCCTTGGCACTTTGAGGATAGTAATCTATTGGTTTTTTTTATCTCTATTTATGCTCTTGATATATCTGCTAAACTAACTGCTGTTCAGTTATAAATGACTTGGCTTCTCTCTCTGGTTCCTTCATTACTCTCTCTTCGTATATAATGTTCATTAATTTCACGAGAATGTATTGAGTAGTCTATGTTTTTCCTACTTACAGACTGCCTATTTAGTATTTCTAGGCACAGTCACAAAGAAGAGAAAAACTGATCTGAGATTGACTGTTTTGTTAATTTCCGTAAAGTTTGTTTAGAACTAATACTATGCAGTATGTAAAAGAGGCATTAATTCACTGCATACAATGGATGCCCTCGGGCAGTGGTTCTCAAACTTTAGCATGCAACACAAACACCCAAGAAACTGATGTAAATACAGACAACCAGACTTCATTCAGTTTCTGACTCAGTACATCTGGATTCTTACCAAGAATACACATTTTCCATAAGTTTCCAGGCACTGCTTATGCTGATGCTGCCGATGAGGCAATCAGGCTTTAAGAACAACTTCCTTAGGGATTGGGGATACTAATCTCAGAGAATAGTCATTGAGAAGGACTTGGGGATTTGACCTGCATCTGAAATCTAGAGTTTAGTATTTGTCCCAAATCCTAAACAATTTTTAGCTTTAAATATTGCCCTCTCCCATTTCTTCCTATACAATTGCAACTATATAAAATCATCGCAGCTAACAGTCCATCGTCGGGCCTGAAGTGCTCCAGTTCCTTCTTCACACAGTCCTCGGAATAAAGAGTATTTGATCATATCATTCTTCTACCCAAAATTGTTTACTGGCTCCTCTATACCTACCAGAGCAGTTCTTTATGGGGAAAGATACAAGGATGGGCTTCAGAGTACTTGCAAAATTTTTAGTGTTTCTATCATGTTACACATACTTTTTAAACTACTATCAAACAAGGTTGTGATCTAAGCATGTTAAAAATTGCTGACTTACTAAATTCAAATGAGTCGATGTGATACATATAGCTTTTCATGATCCGTGCCTGCTTATTCCTACCTTCATATACCCTGCCTGTGCCATCCTGATCATGTCATGCTTTCACACTTTCAAAATTATATCCCTTTCCTCCACCTATGAAAAAATGCCCAACAGGCCTGACAAACTCCTCCTTATCTCCAGAAGAGGTCCAATATCATCTCCTCCAGGAAACGTTTCCTAACGTACTCAGGAGTTATTTGTTCTCTATTCTAGGCTCTCAGCACTTTGTATAAACGTCCGTTATGACTTTATACCCTTCTAATTACTGGTCTACAGAACTATCTTCCTTTAGGAATGTGAGTTATCTCAGGCAACAACTTAATATCTGTAAATCCCCACAACAGATACCCAAATGTTTGTTAAATAAATATGTTACCTAAATATATTTTTCCTTTGGACTCTATAGACAATGTCTAGGAGAATGTATATTTATATTCTAAGAATCTCTGCCTGTTTTCATTTAGATTTTCAAAGCAACCAGATATTCAATGGGAATAAATGGTACACCATTTTATTCTTAAATTTCTTCACAAAATAACTCAAAAGCATCAAAGCAAGGATTATGTCCCTTTACAGTCTAAAATCTGCAACACCAATACAACCAACAGAACACTGAAGGAGTAATCAAATCTAAGCATTTAAACATCTTGATAGAAAAAAATGACTTATTTTATTTCCTATATGAGTCTATTGGGTTTATCTGTTTAGTTAAAACACAGATGTACATATTACAAATTATGACAAGGTTCCTCTTTATTAAAATACCCATTAATTCAGAAAAATTCCTTCACAATGGTATATACCACACAAAGAGAATGACAGTGAGTGGTTCTCTCCAGGAAAAGAGGATGGGAATGTGAGGAGCTAAGGCATTTCATTTACTATTTTTCAAATGTTTCAGGATCACCTTTTTTTTAAAAAAAAGTTATATATTTCTACAGCAAACAGAAAAAATATATTGAAGTTTTTTAAATGCCATATTCTATGGTATGGTGTTTAAGAAAACAGTTTAATTATGAAACTATTTCAATATATTATTCTTACCGGATTTAAGACCTGAAATTTTGAAGATGGCACTCGGTTTCCCGTTCGTGAGAAATCCTAGGAGTTGCCATACTGGCATTCCATTTGAATCAGGATAGGAAAAGTAGACAGATCCTCCCATTCCCTCAGGAAATGGGATTGTTCCCAGCATAAAAACCACAACATGGTTGATATTTTCATAATCAGGCAAGTCAAAAACAAATTTATCTTCTGCCACTTGCTGTGCCACTGTTTGCACCTAGAAAATAAGAAACTTGTCTTAGTGCAATAGTTTGATGAGTTTTTATAACCCTTATAGAATTGCTATAAGCTGTTACCACGTATAATCAATTACAGTCATTATATCAAGTATAACTTTGGGTTAATCTGAGACTCTAATTATGGAATTACCAAATATAACATAGAATACTAATATTAACAGTGAATTCTATTAAAGCACGGGATGTAAAATACAGCAACGGGAATATAGTCAATAATAGTGTAATAACTATATATGGCGTCACTATGTTGTATACCTAAAACTAATATAATATTGTATGTCAACTGTAACTGAAAACTTAGAAATAATTTTTTATAATAAGGAATCTGAAAATACTTAGCCTTAAAATAATTTCATTAATGTAACCTTAAAAATATAACTGAATTATTTCAGAAGTTCCCTGGAAGGATTTTACATATGAAAGTAAATCACCACAGCTTCAGAATGTTATAAAAGTGAAAGGCGGTTCGCCCTGGAGAGGTGGCTCAGTTGGTTGGAGCACCATCCCTTACACCAAAGGTTGTCGTTCTGTTGATTCCCAGGCAGGGCACATAACTAGCTAGGTGCAAGTTCAATACCTGGTCAGTTGGGGTGGTCGAGCCTACAGAAGGCAACCAGTTGATGTTTCTTTTCCTCTCTCCCTCCCTTCCTCTCTCTAAAATTAAGAAATATATCCTCAGGCTAAGATTTTAAAAAATAAAATATTAAACATTTGGATTTTTTTTTTAAGATTTATTTTTAAACAGAGGGGAAGGGAGGGAGGAAGAGAGGGAGAGAAACATCAATGTGTGGTTGCCTCCCACGTGCACCCTACTGGGGACCTGGCCCACGACCTTGGCTATGCCCTGACTGGGAATGGAACCGGTGACCCTTTGGTTCACAGGCTGGCGCTCAATCCACTGAGCCACACCAGCCAGAGCAATAGTTGAATTTTTCTTAAATGAAAGACTGTTCAAAACACACTACCAAACTTTTTTCTTCTAATTTGAAGGTAAAGAAACTCAGGTAATTAAAATGGGTAAGCAACCCAGAGGTATTTAGTCAATCCTCATTATTTGCAGATTCCTTACTTGCTAATTTGCCTAGTCACTAAAATATATTTATAACCCCACAATCACAATTTGTTGCACTTTTAAAGCAGCAAAAAATTTGAGTTGCCTGATGGATATGTACCCATCTGCGGAACAAAACTACATTGTGTCTTCGGGTTTCAGCTCTCATACTGTAAACAAGTGTCCTTTTAACAGTCTATTTAGTGCCATGTATGTTTGTATTTTCATCTGTGATTTGACTGTTTAAAATGGCCAAGCTGAAATAGTGCCCCTAAGGCTAAGAAGGCAGTTAGGTGCCTTACTGAGAAAATATGTGTCGCATAAGTTTCATTCAGACATCAGTTACAGTGCTATTGGCAGAGTCCAATGTTAACTAATCAGTAATACATATTAAATAAGATGCCTTTAAAAAGGAACACACATAAAACAAGAGAGAGAAAATTGAGACCAGACGCTTGTAGAAACCTAACCCTGTATTTCCCCTAGGGAATTATTTACAAATAATTGTTTAACAATTCAACGCTCAAAGGAACTTTATAGAGCAAAACTACTCTAAATAATGAAAACAGACTGTATATAAAATGTAAAAATTCTACCTTGAATGTGCTAAGTAGGTATTTTGAAAGTTTTGACTCATTTGCTAATCTAATTTTCTGTCCTACAACTGAACATCAATTTATAAAATGATATCTTACTTTGAAGTCTAAGAAATCTTTCACAATGAAAATTCATTTTAACAAAAATTTTAAGAAAATTACCGCTACTTCCTATACAACATCCAGCAAAAACAAGTATCAATTTTGACTGCACTGTGGTCAGTACGCTGTGAAGAGTTTACCTTCCCTAAGGTTTTTATATTGTTTTTTTAATTGCTATTGCCTTTCTATTCACCAATATACTGCTATGTAACTGCATCTATGTATCAATGATAAAGTAATATGAACTGCCCTAAATTTATTACCAAGAGACCAAGGATGTGTGTTCTTGTCAAGTTCTGATTCCCTCTTCTGAAGTTTTCCAACACAATTAAAAACTCTATGGTTAAATATAGAGAAACACAGGAAGAACAAATATAAACCAAACTGCCTGTATCAGTATTAAATTCAATTTCACCAGGTCTTACCATGCACATAACACTAAAAGGCAAATGAAATTATGGTACAAGTCTTGAAATAATTTGGCAAAATATTTCTTAAATGTCAACTCTGTATCAGACACCAGACATTTTGTAAATCTGGACTATGGCACTCTAATCATGGACCTTAAGAAAACATGTATAGGTATGTCTTGCCATGGCCCAGTAACTCAGTTGGTTAGAGCATCATCCCCATTACACCAAGGCTGTGGGTTCAATCCCTGGTCAGGGCAGATACAAGAAGCAACCAATGAATGCATAAATAAGTGGAACAACAAATTGATGTTTCTTTCTCTCTCCCTCTAAAAATCAATTTAAAAAAAAATTTTTTTTTTTAAACAGAGACCTGGATGGCGTGGCTCAGTGGATTGAGCTCTGGCCTGCGAACAGAAAGGTCACCTGTTCAATTACCATTGAGGGCACATGCCTGGCTTGCAGGCCAGGTCCCCAGTTGGGGGTGTGCGAGAGGCAACCAAATGATGTATCTCTCACGCATCGATATTTCTCTCCCTCTCTTTCTCCCTACTTCCCCTCTCTCTAAAAATAAATAAATGAAAAGGAGAAACCTGGGCCCCTCCCTTTAACTACTATGTACAGGGCAAGGCAAACTAAAAAAAGAAAAAGGAAAAAGGTATCTCTTTTATTTAAAATTTTTTCTTCAGGAATGAAAACAATTCATAACTTCAGATAAGTGAATTTTTGTAATAAGAGAATAATGTAGCTAGTCTTGAGGTATTGCTAGGTCTATCTGCCCTTCATTTTGATTAACCTGTTCTAACACTCCAGAATTAGTTTACAACCCCCCAAAAATCTTCAAGTAGCTTTTACTGGATATTCATTACAGAAATGTTAGGTAAGTAAACAGGTATTGCTATAACAAAACTTCCTTCCAAATTAGTTGACAACATAAGAGATACATGGATTCCATACAGCCTTTTATCCTTTTTAAGAAAACACACATATTTAAAAAGTCGCTCACTAATGACACTTATTCTGAGTCTCACATTCATTTCTGGCTGGTCCTTTTTTTGTTTTTAAATCAAAGCAAGGTCAAAGTTGTGTCCCAGTACTACTATATTTTGCCATGTATAATGTGCTTCCATGTATAGTGAGTGCACAACCATGTTTTTGGCCCAAACTTTCAGGAAAAAAAAAATCTTTATTTTAATTTTTCATTTATTTATATTTAGAAACAAAACCGATTATCATATTCCAGGGTATTATTTTGCATAAGGATATCATTATTGCTTTCTAGAGTTATACTTTTAACGCATAAGCATAAATAAAAGAACTTAAAACATTTCTATAGATGCAGAATTAGAACTATCCATGTATAATAAGCATCCTTAGTTTTCCCTAAAGAATTTGGGCAAAAAAGTGCGCATTATGCACAGCAAAAGACAGTACCAACGATCACCATCACCAAAAGAGGCTACCCAATCATTCGAGAGAGACAAAAAAAAATTCCTCAGGCCAATTGTCTCCAATCTGTCTCTATGATTCCTTATAACTGTGTACATAACACATTACCAAAAACTTATCTTAACATTCCACAAAGGAGCTGCAACATTTAACAAAGCAGGGAGAAAAAGGTAAGAAAAAGAACTCCAGGCGAAATAAAGGTAGGAAATGAATCTCTAGGTGATTCAAGCAAGCAAAATACCGTACACCTTCCAGATTACTCCTGAACAATTTCAGGTGCTGGTCTCATTTAATTCTAATTTTCCGGCAAGTGTCTCTCTTCTGACCAATCAGGAAACTCGCTGCTCACATCTTTCCAGAGTCATCTCAGATTTGGCTCACACTTCTATTTCAGTCGTTTCTATTAGCCAACTTACAATTACTTTTAACCATATTTTTACTAGAGTCTTTCCAAAAGGACCCAAGCAAACAAATACTGCCGGAGCACCTTCATCTTGCATACGCAGGACACTAGAGATTACATTAAAATGCCAAATTTACGTCCAATTCACTCTATGAATTTAGGCGTGTGTTTATACTACTGATTGAACTTCAATTCCTCAGCTGCAAAATGGATCGAATGATAATAACCACCTCACAAATTGCGAAGGTTAAACCTGGGGTGCCAAATAAGCACCAGAGAGAAGGCTAAAATGACGAGCGGCGGACAAAAGGCGTGCATTCCGCAAACGGCAGCTAATATGTGATTACTCAAATGACCGAGCAGGGGGCAAAGCAGAACGCCCACCGTCCACTCTCCACTCCACACTCTAAGCCGGAAAGCAGAGCGGAGGGGTCTTCCCCGAACCTCTCGGTCCCGAGCACCCTCCCCTTCCCGTAGCCTCGCCCTCAATGTCCTGCCCCCTGCCTGATATCACCCAGCCCCAACCTCACCAGCCTCCCCGCCACCAAGCAGCCAAACATGGCGGCGGCGGCAGCTCCGCTGAGCCCGAAGCCGGCAACTAGAAGTCCTGGTACTACTACACTGGCGGAGCCCAAGAAACTTCCAGAACATGAAGAGCACCAGCCACGCCGCTACAAAGCATCCATGCAAGCGGTAGGAATGCCTTGTGTCTCCGACCTCTGATCCACCCTGCCCAACCAGCGGCCTCTCAGGTGACAAGTACTTCCGGGGCTTACACCCAACCGCCCCAATTAAGGGAGAAAGACGGACCAGAGCCAGCGCAAGACTACAAGTCCCAGCGGGTCCTGCGCGGATTTCCGGGAAGGGCCCCAAGAGTATTTTCAGCCGTTGGGTTGATGGTCCTGATCCTAAATTTCCGAATCTAATGCAGAGAGGCGATGTTTCTTACAGTGCGCTTTTACGATCATCACTTTACTAGAGCCTTACAAAAATCTTTTAAGGTAGGCATTGTTATCTCCATTCTGTGGGCGAGGAAATTGCCCAGAGTGACCAGCCCCAAATCTTAACACAGCAGTAAGTATTGGAGTCCGAATCCAAGTCCTGACCCAAATCGTGTCTTTTCCTGCTGTGCAATAGCTCAGTTCTAATTTTTAACCAGCTGTTTTGTACTTATTGATAACTTCTGTAGTTCCAGCTTCACCTAGCTCCCTCACTTATTTACAGTAAAACTTGTAGCAAGTTATATATTTAGGCTTTAATGTCCCCATTTGTAAAATAAAATTAATTGTGCCTCTCTCTTAGGGATTGTTGTGAGGATTAAATGAATTAATATATATACAAAACAAATTAGAGCATGGCAGTGTTTAATTAATGGGAGTTTTATTGTAAAATGTCTTTTTTTATACACATTTTAAGAAAATGTTCATAAGAAATAAAAAACAGCCAAAACAACTGGCATCAAGTACTGATTGTTATCAATACTTATTCTCCCTTTCAGAGCACAATTCCCTTTCCCCTTGTATAGGAAGGTAGGATAACCCCTCTGGGAAGGTCTCTGGCCAACTTAAAATATCTGAGTTTAGTCTTCCAGCCATCAGCCTATCTGTCCTCCCAGCCCCAGATTACATGGAGATCAGTGTTTGGAACAGTCCTCTGGCCTCCACGCTGGCTCCGTAAACTTGGACCGCCTACCTATTTCAGATACGCCTTTGAGGTAGCCAAGCCAAAGATGAAGAGATAGAAGAGGATCTTCCCACCCATGTCTCCAACTTTCTACTTACAAAGTCCCAGAACCAGGGGAGTGGGTGAAGGTGGGAGAGGACATGGGTAGGGGATAAATGGTGATGGAAAAATAAAATAAAATAATGTTAAAAAATGAAATCCCAGAACCTTCAGAATTAAAAGGCCATTCATGATAAGACCTCTTCATGAGGGATAGACAAACTGCCTGTATTCAGAACCCACTTCTGACATTTATTAGCTATGTAACCTTAGACTAGTTAACCTAATACTTCATGCCTTCACTTCCCGATCTGTAAAATGCAATAATAATAGTATCTACATCATAAGGTTGTTAGGAAGATTTTTACATGTAAAGTACAAAATAGCCAAAATATAGCTTAATAAAATATTAGCATTTAGTAGTATTATTGCCTTTGCTGACTACTTTTCCAGGTCTTCATACCCACCTTGAACCCTGTGGAATAATAAATACAATGCTTACCAGTGTAGCTCAGTTGGTTGAGTGTCGTCCTGCAAAGTGAAAGGTGGCCAGTTCTTTTCCTGGTCAGGGCACATGCCTAGGTTTCAGGTTTGGTCCTGGTCAGACCGCATGTGGGAAGCAACCGTTTGATTTTCTCTCCCTCTCTTCCTCCCTTCCACCTCTCTCTTTAAAAAAAAAGAAAAGAAAGAGAGACATAGGTCTCTGTCCCTGTTCCTAACTCAGCGCTCCTGAAACACTTGTAAATTCCCAATGGGTAAGAGCCCTAGGAGCATCTTTTTTCTAATAATGTGACTCGGGGTGGTCTTCTGGATGGATGCTAGATGGAGTGTGGCCACCAAAAGACCAAGCCATAATTAGAAGCTTAGACTTCAGCACCACCCCACATTATCCAGATAGAGGAGAGAGACTAAAAATTGAGTTAATTGATCATGCCTACATAAGGAAGCCTCCATAAAATCCCAAAAGAATGGAGTTTGGAGAGATTCCCATTTGGTTAACACACCCATGAACCAGAAGGGTGATGCACCCCCGACTCCGAATGGACACAAGCTCCTGCACTTGGGACCCTTGTAGACCTTGCCCTATGTATCTCTTCATCTGGCTAATCATCTGTATCCTTTATCACACATTCTTTAGTAAACTGGTATATGTAAGTGTTTCCCTGAGTTCTACAAACTATTCTAGTAAATAACTGAATTCAAGCAGGACGAGGTCATAGCAACCTCCGATTTGTAGCCCTGTTAGACAGAGTTTGTGGATAACCTGGGCACCAATTACTTGCACTTGGCATCTGAAGTGGGGGGCAGTCTTATGGGACTGACCCCTTAACCTGTGATATCCCATGCTGTCTCCAGGTAGATAGTGTTAGAATTGAATTAAATTATAGAAGATCCAGCTGGTATCACACAATTGTTTGGTGTGGGAACTCTCCCGCCCCAACATCTGGTGTCACAAGTGTTGTGAATGTGGCAGTAGTGAGAGTAAGGGAGAAACACGGAGGGAGACCAGGTTCTTTGGTTTTTCCTTTGCATATCCTAACCATATTATTGATTCTCTGAACAACACATACTTTTCAACCTTTCTTGTTTGTGCAGCTAGTTTTATCTACCTGTAATACTCACTTGGCAATTTCTTACACATCCACCCAATTGATTCGCATATTTCCTTCAGGAAGCTTTCAGTGACCTGATAATTAGTCATTCCTTCTATTATACAGCAATCTTATGTAATGGACTGAGAGCTGACTAGCCTAGAATTTTTTTTTTTAATAAACTGCAGTTGCTGTTTATTAATTGTCCCAATCTTTGTTATGAGGGATTTTAGTTTTTTCCTGTTTTTCTGGTGAACTAATTCTAGGGCAGTGAGTTTAGTATCCTAAGGAGGGCAAAACTAGATACAACGTATGAAAGCAAAGAAAAGTGTTTCAAAGGGAAAAAAAATCTTTTCAATAATCAGAGCTCCCTGAAGTTAGAGTAGGCAGACATGGGATAGTGAATTCTCCCGTTGTCATTTACATTTTAACCATTGCTAAGGAGATTCATGGAAAACATGAGGAAAAATGGCGTAGGACTTCAAATGTACCTGCCAGCTCTCAAACAATATGCTTCTATGGAGGAAGAACAAATTATAGTTGAATTTTGGCCAGGGAATCAAGTGCTGAATTCATGTTAGCTCCTTTGTTAACTAGCCTATGCATGAAAAAAAATTACATCATTTTGGGTATTAGGTTTCTACACTTCTAGAAAGAGGGCATTAAATTCTGATTTCAAGAGCACAAAAATATTTCTTCTCTTCTTCTAAGGTAGATTTTCCTTTCCAAAAGTAGAAAAACAAAAAATAGAAGCACAAACTCCATCTTATTTGAACTAGGAGATACTTGTAACTCCAAGTCTCAAAGATAACAATGGAAAGTGGAAAGAGAAAAAAAATGACAACACAGCACAGGGAGGTTGAACTCAGGTACCTCTATACAAAAAGGGAGTAAATACTAGAGAAGCTCAGGAATTGGAGATACCAGAGGCCACAGAGACAGGGGTATGTCAGTAGACTGAAAACAGATTGATTGCTTAAACTCAGTCAGATTTTTTTATCTGTCCCTCATCCACACCTCACTCATTGGCATGAAATCTCCGGGGGCGAAAATCTGAATAGGAGAGGCCCCAAGTACTGAAAAAAGGTGATTAGGGGGCAAGACCACCATAAACAAATTAGCTCTCGATTACGGGCACTCAGGTGAGAGAAGCACTTGGCTCACCAAGTCAAACACACCAATGTGGGACTGTGTCTACCTGAAGGGGGACTGGCTTTTTCTAAAATATCCACTTGGAGGTGGGATATGCCTTTTTCTATATCATTCATGCAGAGAGGGCTGTCTTTCACTAATTCATCCGTAGGAGAGGAGGGTAATTTTTTAAGGATCACGTAAAAATAAAAAAATAAAAACACCTTTTCATGATCAAAAAGTATTTAATAAACTAGAAACAGACTGGAACTTCCTTAATCTGATAAAGAGCATCTACAAAAATCTCACAACTAACATCATACTTAATGGTACTAGATGCTTTCTTCCTAAGATCACAAAGAAAACAAAGATGCCTGCTCTAGCCACTTCTATTTTACATTTTACTGGAGCTTCCAGCCAAAGCAATTAGGCAAAAAAAAAAAAGAAAGAAAGAAAGAAAAAGTATCCAGTTGTGAAATTAAGAAGTAAAACTGTCTATTTGTGACATGATCTTTTATGTAGATCCTAAGTGATCCACTAAAAAAATAAATTAGAACTAATGAGGAAGTTCAGCAACATTGCAGGATACAAAATCAAAATACAAAATTCAATTTTATTTATTGTATTTTTAAACACTTGCAATGAAAAGTCCAAAAATTAAATTAAGAAGACAATTCCATTTTCAATAGCATCAAAAAGAGTAAACTATGTAGGAATAAATTTAACAAAAAAAAGTTTAAAACTTATACTATTAAAACTACCAAACATTGTAAGAAATTAAAGATTTAAATTAATGGAAAACATCCCATGTTCATGGGTCAGCAGACTTAATTTTGGTAAGAACAATATTCCCTAAATTGATCCATAGATTTAATGCAATCTCTATTAGAATCCCAGCTGCCTTTTTTGCAGAAATTGACAACCTGATTTTAAAATTTATAAGGCATTGGAAAAGACCAAGAATAGCCAAGACAATCTTGAAAAACAAAAAAAAATGAGCAAGCAGAACAGAAGCAGGTTCACAGATACAGAGAACATTTTGACAGCTGCCAGATGGGAGGAGGTTGGGAGAATGGATGAAAAGGGTGAAGGAATTTAGAAGTACAAATTGGTTGTTACAGAAGAGTCATGGGGATGTAAAGTACAATAATATTCTAATTATGGTGTCAGATGGGTGCAAGATTTATCAGGATGATCACTTAGTAAGTTATATAACATCTAGTCACTGAGATGTACAGCTGAAATTAATAATGTAAATCAAATATAATTGAAAAATTTAAGTTACATGAAGATGATCACTTTCTCTCTCTGTA